TTATCTTCAGCTAACCAAGATACAACCGAAGCATGACAAACTATCAAGTAACAACAAAAGAGACTGCATTGACAAGGATTTTGGGCCCACTTATTCTAGCCTACATAAAAGTTTCCCATTCGACAAAATCTGCTAGATCCAATTTCTTTCTTAATACAATTATGAATGCACTGAAATTTTTATGGATTCATTACCATAGAGTTGAGAAATTGTGCCAAAATACGATTGTCGATGGGTCAGATTTCAGACACGCACGCATGCGGGAAGTGAAGACGAAAACACAACTTTTTAATGAAATAAACCTGGCCATTGTGGAGTCTCTACATGCTCAATATTTTCTCTACAGAACTCTACCACAATTCTCTCTAGATTTCTATGACACAGTGGCCTCTCCCTCTCACACACCTCTCTCTAACTCAACACCAACGAAGGCATGGTGGCCTCTCTCCCACAACCCAGTGGTTTTTCTCTCCAATTCAATGATTCTCTTCATAACTAAGACCTCTAATATAGACCTTAATATCTAGACCTTGACTTGTCATTTAAGCAGCTTAATCTTGCTTGACTTATAAATCATTCAATACTTTCTTAGAACCTCACATAAGTTCTACGAAGTCATTCCAGCATCTTTCATGTACAAGGCCTACTTGAATTTTTTTAATCTTCTCTTGATCCAACACTTTTTGTGAAAATATCAGTCACCAATTCACTGGTTAAAATGCCCATCAAGTCAAAATCCTCGCTTAATACCTACTCACAAAGAAATTGATAATGCACCTCAATATGTTTTATATATGGATTTGATGCCATCATGATGAAACTGCTATTGCCACTACGAATTGGAATATTGTAGTCCATGGCAAACTCCTTGAGCAACTGGCTCAACCACACACTTCGCATTTAGACATCATTGCTACTCTCTATATGGTTCTATGGACAAATTTGCAAGCCCATGTGCACTTCTGGAAGCCAAATTGAAATTGCATCCACATAACGAGCGACGAGTGTTTGGTTCTTGCTGAACTGGCATCGCAATGCCCAACTAGCTTAATGTTTGGTTCTTGCTGAACTGGCATCGCAATGCCCAACTAGCTTAATATGAATGTTACGCTCATAGAATAAGGCCTCATTAATGGTTGCCATCACATACCTCAATATTCGCTTCACTGCATCCATGTGTGGTTTCCATTGCTCTTACATGAACTGTCTTATGGTCCCAACTGGATATGCTAAGTCGGGTCAAGTCATGGTTAGGTAACAAACTACCTACCCTCTCTCTGTATGGCCTAACATCTCCTCTGACAATATCCCCATCATTATCCGATGACTTTGTTCACATCAAGAGGTGTTGCAATCTGTTTTAGAAACATCAACCTGAAAGTTGCTAGTAGATTCAATGCAAACTTCATTTAATCTCAACCCCTCTGCCTGGTTGCCCGAGGTTCGAGCAAATAGTAGAGCCTCTGGAGTTTGGCACATTCTTCTTGCTACCCTCAACCTCTTCAAACACAACACTCATATCTTGGCCGGCGCTGGTACCCGAACCAAGTTCTGTCAGACTTGTGGTTAGGACACACCCCCCTCAAAGACTTATTCCCCTCCCTCTTCCTCCTAGTCCTTAACGGGCAGGAAACTGTCGCCAACCTTTTCAGGATCATAAGGCCCAGCAGAGTATGGTCCCCCGTCTTGCGCAGGTCTCCCTTAGATAGCGAAGTCCAAGAGTTCCTTGACTGCCTCCCACTCCAAGAAGAGGATAAGCTTATCTGGTATCCATCTCCCTCTGGGCTATTCTCGGTGTCCTCTTTCTACCGTAGGCTCCTCCAACCTCCCACTTTCCCCTTGAATCCTACCTCAATGACTGCCAAGAAATGGCTCTCTCTTGTTCCTCCCAAGATCCAAGTTTTCAGCTGGATCGCCCTCCACCAAAGGGTGCTCACTGTTGACTGGCTCCAAAGGAGAGGCCCAACTTTGCCGAACCACTGCATCATGTGTTTCAAGGCCAAGGAAACCAACAATCATCTCTTCATCCACTGCCAGTAGCCTCTCTTTTCTGGGGTTACCGCCTTCGCCTCTTCCACAGGCAATGGGTAAACCCCCAATCCATCCCTCACCTCTTCTCTTCTCTTCTCTTCACCCATACCCCTAGCCCAAACCAGGAATCCTCCTCTGGAAGGCATCCATTTTTGCCCTCGACAGCGTGGAACATGCGGAATCATAGAATCTTCCGAGGCCTCCACACCCCCACAGCATCTCTCTTCAACAAGATCAAAACATCTTTGGGCCTCTAACGACAAGCTGTTCAAAGGCATCCACTTCTCGGCATTCCACCTCGACTAGCTGCCCCCCTTCTTCACCTCTCAAGACCTTGCATATCCCGAGCGTCTTTATGGAGACCACCTGATCATGGTTCAATCAAGCTTAACTTTGACAGTTGCTCCCTAGGCAACTCCAGTCCACCTGGTATAGGTGGCCTGTTCAGGAACCATGAAGGCTTAGTCACTTCAACTCCCACTCTGCTGAGGCCCTGGCCCTCCTTGAAGGCCTCAGACTCTTTGATTGCAATTGGTCTTCAACCCTGGCCTCCGAGAAGGTGACTCAGAGAGTAATTCACTGGGCCTCCGACATTGCCACGTACCTGTAGTCCCTAGCGCACACTTTTGAAGAAATCTCTCACCTATTGTCGGATCTCAATGTGTCATGGCGATATGTTTGGTGTGAATTCAACTCTTACGCAGACTCCCTTGCTAAACAAGGTACTATAAGTTTAGGGGACGGAGTAATTTTTTGTAGCCAGTCTCCTCTTCTCTCCTACCCCTCTGGTCTGTATACGGCGTCCCTTTAAGGGAGCCTTATTTTTTGATGTATATAGCTCCCGGTCTCACGGGTTATAATTTTGTACTTCCTCCTTTCTTCAAAACAAAATTAAAATCTTCAAAAAATAAAATTAAAAATAAAAAATAAAAAAAATATTCTTGTACATGATCAATATGCCTCATTCATCTCTCATAAATTCAACCCCAATAAAATATAGAAACTCTCCTAAAACTTTTTGGAGAAGAGAATCTTTATTCTTTCACCTTGACTCGAGCTATTGCCCATAATGATCATCAACATAAACCATACAAATAACTACACATTTAGCAAAATGGATGATGAAAATGCAAGAATCCACCATATATAGATCAAATCCATGTGAGTGAAAGAACTTTCTCATATTGTCCAACCATGCTCTAGGTGCTTGTTTCATGTCATTTAGAGTCTTCTGTGATTTGCTCACATGTCAAGAATTCATGGCATCTTCATATCCTTTGGAACGATGCATATCCATAACCATGTCAATCTCTCCATTCAAGAAAGCATTTTCATTTCCATCCGATGGAACTTCCTACTGTTTACTGCACCAAAGTGGTAATTACTTCCAACACTTAAAATCTTTGCAACTAAGTAAACATCTCTTCATAACTAAGTAGAAAACCGTATAGCCACCAACTGCACCTTATGCACTCAACTTCACCATTGGATTTACCTTAAAAATTCCATTACAAAGTCCTTCAAGTTAAGAAAGTTTGTGATAGATTAACATCCATTTGAAGGAGTTGATTAGGATGGAAAATTTATACAACATTCTAGAGAAGTATTGGGTAACTTGAAAGCCAAGCAAGATTGAGTTGCTAGCATGACAAGCCAAGGTACTTGTTTTGGAAGCTAAGCAAGGTCTAGATGTTGGAGTCTATAAACAAAGGTCTTGGCCATATAGAGGGTCATTGAGTTGGAGAAGAAAAACAACACATTCCGGGGTTGAGGCCACAGTAGCTAAGAAAATAGTGGGTGTTGCATTAAACAGAGAAAGAGACATGATCTAGTGAGAGTAAGTATTGTATAGAGAAGATTGAGTATGCAAAGAGCCCACCTTGGTCGAGTTTATTTAAATAACAAGTTGAGTTTGCATGCATATCTCAATCAAGCACATCGATAACCAATGTTTCCATAAGATTTTTCAATGCTTAAAAGTTATATAAATCAATATAATGCACATGAACTGACATAAGAAGTCCCTATATTTGTGAAATCACGTAATTGCTCCAAGCCTAATATTGGGGGTGTCAACGAGCTGATTCGAGTGCACACACATTCAAACCTAGCTTGCATAACTAGAAGATGATGAGCTTGGCTAGGTTTGGCGCATCTACATAAGAAAGCCTAGAAAAAAGCCCAGTCAAGCCATAGACAAGCCCATTCGAGCCAAATCAAGCCGAAAACAATGCAAGTTTATCCATGAAAATCCAAACAAGTATTTCTAGACCACAAGTGTTTTTTATATTTACATGCACAAATTTTATGTTAATACATATATATATATATATATATAAGCCTGTTTGAGTGCACTCGTCTCACTAGTAATTCACTCTACACTAAAAACACTCAGTGTAAAGACTTATTGTTCCCTTATAAAAATTAATTTCGATAGACTTTGTTTTCCAGATAACCTAATCTCTTCAAATTTACTAATTTTTACTTTATTCAAAATAAATTATCCTTTTATCAGGGCTTTGTGTTCCTCTCTCTCTCTCTCTCTCTCTCTCTCTCTCTCTCTCTCTCTCTCTCTCTCTCTACTCTACTCTACTCTACTCTCTCTACTCTCTCTACTACGTACTACTAACGTACGTAACGTAACGTAACGTAACTACGTAC